GCTGGAAATCGAAGCGAAAATTTGAGACCCTTATGTATATTTACATCATTATCTATTTCTTACCCCACCCCCACATGATCCTTATCCATCACCAATCGTATACACATCGAATTGTGCTAATTTACTACAAGTTACGCAAAGCAGCATCTACTATCTAAAATATGTACTGCGTGACTCTTAATACGTCCTGCCGAATGTTACAGCGTTCGATGATCACGTGGTCTTTGTTTATGTCCGTCTATCTCTTATCTGAATATACTTTACACACTCTTATTTTATTTTCACTATTTTTTGAATAGTTGTAAGGAACTTAAAAAAAGTGTCACCTAGCATATTCTTTATCTATAAAATCAAAAAGTTTCATAATCTAAACAAGCTCAGCACTTGATTCAAATCAAACTTTGGATAAATTGGTTAAGGCTTTCGCGGCCAGTTGATAAACTGGTGTCTTGATTCGGGTCTGAAGGCCGTCGTCGGTTGGAATTTCTTCCTAACGTTTCGCTAGCACGAGTGGCAAGCTTCTTCAGATGTCCTTCCATTTCTCTGAAGAAGCTAGCCACTCGTGCTAGCGAAACGTTAGGAAGTTCCAACCGACGGCGGCATTTTCGAAATGTTACTTCAGTCTAAAGCATTTTAAAATGCTCACCACAAATAGTTCTCCTTCCACCAAAGATCCTTCCAACAAGTCTATCACAAGTATTATTCCTATATTGTTCGCAGGATATGTATAGAATTTAATTTTGCATTGAGGCAAAACAAATGTTGTTGATATAAACAAAACGATACTTTCCATTTTTCGTACACCAAGAGGTAAGTAGATTGTACGTGTGAAGTTGTTTACACATGTGAAACGCATAGCAATGAAAATACGTTATCATCATCTTGAAGGTGCGGAGATTTGGTGGGCGTACCTACGATTCCTTTGTCGCTCAAAAATTTGATTGAACTTGTGCTTCGTCCCAATGAATATAATAAATAGTACCATAAGTTTTGACATCTACTGCGGTGGTGATTTGTGACATTTTATGATTTGTCAAAATTGACACTGACGCGTTACAAACATACAGAACGTTTTATCAGTGTAAAAAATCGAGTCTAGTACCAAACCAAAAGATTACCGCGCAGTTTCGCTATTTGCCGTTGTCTTTCAAGGCCACCGAATTCGAATAGATTGGATTTACAATGCATTGTCAACTGTGAATTCCTGCATGTAGAGTGCTGTCATAAGCAAAGCTGTGGATAGGATCGATCGTACAGGAAAGGAGGTCTTTGGTATGTAAGAGGAACAATGTCCAAGCCAAGAATGATCCCTGGGGAATACCCGCGCTGATATTGTGGGATAAAAAGAAGAAACCGTCAATTTTACGACTGATATCTTGCGGCAAGAGAGGAAGTGAAGATGGCTATCTTCAGAATACTCAATCCTTTGTATCAGTGAAAGACGAGCTATTCTTAAAAGAAGCTTCTGATCCAGGAAACTTATTATTCACCAATAGTTCATGCAGCGTGTGAAGGATTAGAACTTATTTTCTATAGTCTTAGTTTTAAAGCTAAGATATACTGTACCTGAGCTAACATACCTAGTTACGTCTCTTAACCCATTTCTTTTTCTTCTTAATTTCAAACTTATATAAAAAAGAGGTGGCGTAAGAAAAAATGGAGTCAATCTACTTGACGTCATTGTTTTTAATACTTTTGTACGGGGTAAGAATAACCAAATTATAGTTTTGAAGTTTATTTCACAACACAAATCGTAGTACAGAGGAAACATTACGTTTTACTCTCCCCGGTATGTTTGTTTATAATGATTCTCCGTTCGGTCCAGCGCCCGTGCTGACGCTTTTGTCTACATTTATCTCCTCAGAAGTCTCGGTGGCCGGTTGTCAACAACGCTGTGACCTTTGCCTGGTTGTCCCAATAACGAATCACTTTCTTTCGATCCACTTTGTTATCGTAAACTTTCGGCTTAGTCAAATCTAGAACAAATCTCTTCTGATAAAGGGTATCCCAAAATTCACCAATACTTGCATCAAGTAGGAGAGAAAGCAGTTTTTTAATTGCAATTTACTGAATCATAAAGTACACTTCTTACATTTTCAAAAGAAATAGTCGATTTGATCACCAGATTTGACACCCATTGACCCTTTCTGTGTGGTATCCAAGAGCAGAATTTGTATTAATACTCTGGCTTGAAATAAAGTATCCGACGCTAAACAAAATTGAACCTGGTTTGCTTTGGTATACTATGCAAAATATGATTAAGAAGTTCCATAAGTAGTACATACAATTTTACTCTAAATCCTAAATCTTCTCTATACACGGTGTCCCATTTTGATATCCCACCTAAATATTCCGAAAACAACAACAAAAGCTGTACGGTTCTAAATTGACAAAATGATCTTAACCTGACAATGACCTTGACCATTCCCTTCAGGGCCATTTCAAGGTCAAATCAAGACATTAATTTGCTCAAGCAAAAATGTTCGACAACACAAAGGTGACTCCAAGGTCAACCATGTGCTTGACCTTGACAGTCAAGTCAAAATTTCCAGGACACCTCCATTTTTATACTCGAAATTGAAAAGCAGGGGAATACCTCAAAAAAACATTCAAGTTAGACACGAGGTTGGTACGTAAATTTCCCGGTTTTTTTGCATTTCCAGTATAAAAATAAGTTTCCCCTGGAAATTATAACTTGACCTTGAAGGTCAAGGTCAAAGTCATGATTGAGCTTGAGGTCACTTTTGGATGATCCGCTAAATTCCACAACTGTGCTGTGGAACATTTTTGCTAGAGCAAATTGTTTGTGATGTCTTGATTTGACCTTGAAATGAGTCTGGAGTCAAATGGGCAAGGTGATTGCCTAGGTTATATTGGGGCGAAAAATTTGCTCCACTTGTAAATTCCGATGTGATAAATATTCACTTGACCTTGAAGGTCGTAGTCAATGTCATTTTCAAGGTCACCATCATTTGCTCCCATAAAACCCTACAGCTTTTGTTGAAACTTTTTTCTAGATGCGCAGTTTTCGGAAATATTTAAATGGGGATATTAAAGTGTATAAACCGCATTTTCCAGGTCTATACAATATTGTTATGGATCTGGACCTCGGACGCAAATTTCAAATCCACTTTTTTATATCGCATATTGTTGGATCTCCACCTAAAATGTTCGACTTACAATTTTTGAACTTCTTCACTGTTTATATCCGACACATTGCTATCCGTGATCTCGGAAGAACCTACAAATTATCTGATTGAATTTTTTTTCTAAACAAATTTGTCTCAGCGTACTACAGATCGTAATCATCAAAACTCGTAGTGGAATCACCCCCTCAAAAACCGTTCTATGATTCCTTGCTCTTCTTACTTATGACTTGTTGGAAGTTGAGCATTCTTTAACGCTACTATCGTTTTCCTTATGTCATATGGGATCGCGCCATCTGCCCCGCGTGGGTCTGTCTTGTGGACTTCTGGTGAGATCTTGCTAGAAAAAAATTGAAGTTGTTCATATTTTCACTTATTAAGTGATTTCGAAAAAACATTATTTCCGGCATTGCAGCACGAGCGTCAAAGATTCGAGATGCTTAATGGGAGTCAAGGATATTGACTCTATACTTCCTACGCCAGAGATTAATCAATGCTATAAGATATTCTTCTGTAGGCAGTTTTCTAAAAACTTTCCAACGACAGTACCTTTATATCATTTTCAACCGGATAGACCTGCGCAACCGTTTTCTTCTGTCTTGGACTTTCTAGCAATATTGCAATCAGTAAAATTCTGCATCGTAGACGCAGGTGGTTTCACTATAGGCATCTCTATAGGTTCTCATTAGTCCTCTCTATAGGTTTCTCTTATAGTCTTTTTATGGGTCTGACTAGATGTCTCTCTATGGGCGCGGTGAATTTGTAAGGAGTATAGTCGGTCCAAGTTGGATTCAGTGTCTTCATCAGCTTTTCAAATTGGGAGGGGTTCTTAGACTGAGTTGTTCCTCGATCACAGGCCACACTCCACCTATAATTTCAGTGATACCATTTCTAAATGTATTCTTTTTCATTATCCTTTCAAGCTAACGAAACTTGGTTATAGTTTACGACACACTTATAGTGTACATGTTTTACATTTTTTTTGTTTCTTTAAGGTATCGACATGCATATGTTCATTATATGATACAGGACTAACGGGCCGTATCGTCAGTCGTTCCTACAATTGTCAGACGCCTTAGGACCTCGCTGGTTTTTAAATATCTTCTCTCGTTCGGAAAGGCTAAGGTATTTCCAGATTTCTAATTTCTACTGTTCCGAGTCAGCACTCCTTATTGTGAGGCTATGATTTCTTTTCGATTTGTAAGAAATTTCAGGCTGATGTAACAGATGATATAAATCAAAAGTATGAAACATTGTGATGCAAATAGATATTTGTAACATAACCTCAAAATAGAGCGCTGACACGGAACAGTAGAAAACTATGAAAATCAAGGAGGCCATAAAGGCGCCCTACAATAGTAGGAAGGACTGACGATACGGCCCTAAATAATATAAATGGCACTAATACATATTGAATGAATATAACATAAATCGCATTATTTCGATACGGGCATAGCAACAAATTCACATAATTTATCTATGCTATAAATGGATCGATTTACGAGCGGTAATCAAGATATTCAGTTCTATGTAGGCGATCTAGGTTGGCTAATGTCTTGTACATATACCTGCGTTAATGTCTGTGATGAGCAAAACTTTGTCGGAGTCATGGATTTTGAGGTAGAAAAAAGTCGCCTTCTGAGCCTGACTATTTTTGCTCATTAAAAGCAGATGTGTGGCTTCAATCATGGAGTAGTAAAAACCTTGATAGGTAAATGTGCCTAACCAAAGTACAACAGAAATCATTCGCATCGAACTCCGACCAAAAAAATAAGGTAACACACTCTACAGCATATCGAGTTTTGGCCAAAATCGTCATTTCGCGATCCGACCAGACAAACCTTGGTTTAGCTTCACAACTTTACCTCAGGCAAGGATCTCCTGTCGACGCTTGTCCCAAAGTTTCTTACAGGCACCCTCTCCGTCTGTCCGTACTTCGACTTGGACTTCTTGGCGGACAAGGCCGAGTCTAGCAGCACTTTCGGAGCTCTCCGAATCGCCAGGTTTCTCGATTACGTATTCGTATTCGGTGAATTCCCGACCAAAACTGTCGCACATCACTTCATCGCAGCTGAATGTTTGCTTGCCGATGCAGGGGAAACATAACTTTACAAATAAAACATTAAAATAGTGTTATTTTCGTTGAAAAAGCCGCCAAAGTGGTAGCTACGTTACCATTTATTAATAAAAAAAACAAAAAATAAGGACAAAGAAGAAGCGGAAACGTGGAAATGCCGACGTTTGCTTATTTTATTCACAGTCAGAATCAGAAATTACTTCTTCTTCAGCTTCCTTATTTACATTATATAAATTCTTTTTATATTTGTTTAAATGATTCTCATTAAAACTATAGGATAAACAGCACTGTTTTTTTGATTCCAAGTCTAATTTAATTGTAAGTAGTGCAGACAAAGTTGATGGTATTATTTTAGTTCTTATTTTTGTTTTGTAATCAAGCATATAAGAAAAGTTCACTCAACATCAGCGTTTCCATGAATGTTAAAATGATTAGAGCCAGTTTACCTATATTGCGAAATAAATATTCGTCATTAAAATTTTTGAGGTCGTTTACAAACGACCAAAATTCAATGACATTACTTTTTGTTTTAAAATTTCCTCTTTCTCACTACCTATCACTAAAATAAATACATATTTTCTGTAGTTCCAAAATTGCCTTTTCGGTTTCAATATGAAGGGCATTTTTTTTTAAAACGGCGTCATGAAAGGTATCACTTATAATAAGACGATTGTTCATCACATCAACCGGTGAGAGAAACTTTAGCTCTGAAAAGAAGTTGTCTTTGATAGGAAATCTTTTAAGGGACTCTTCTACCGATTTTTGGTAAAATGTGACGCATTTTAATTTAAATTGTTCGATTGACGTGTTATTGCAGTGTTTTATTGCATCCATTGTATACGGAACAACATTCACTTGTTCAATTGGTAATAAGCAGTGGGGATCATTAGGATTTAGATTATATAATTTCTCATTTGTAAAATATTCTGGTCGCATAAAGTTTGTACATAGATGACGTACAAATCGCTCACTCTCTATTGATATGATATTGAGCATAACTTTCTCTGATTGGAAGAGAGCATTAAATTGGTTAAAAATGGGCAACACGAATTGAAAAACATTAAATACGCCTTAACAAATGGATTCTGTAACTCATTAAGTATTACATTTGCTACAGGATTTTTGTCTTCACTGGAAGCTAATCTAATAGGCTAAGCAAGATGTCCCACTGATCCAAAACTCTATCAACACATTTGGATAAAGCAAACCACCTTGTTTTACTAGGGCTTACAATTTTTAATTTTGACTTTTTGTAATATTCCTGTAATTCTTCAAGAACACACTGCCTTTTTGGGCTTCTTGAGAAGTAAGAATATAAGTTTTGTAAAAGAGCTTCAACGTTGCTTGGAATCTTTTCAGCTGCCGCCACCGCCACTAAATGAGCAGAGTGGTAAATGCAGCCATTGACAATTATATTAGGATTACCTTTTAAAAGATAAGTTTTGAAACATTCGTTATTGCTCATCATAACACTAGCGTTGTCGGAACAGTATCCAACAATATTGGTAATTTTACTTGATTGGATATAATGCATTTTTTAAAAAGAGAATATAAACCTTTGGCGGTACCTTCATCTGCGTTTATTTTAATTATATCTAATAAATGGGTTTTAATTGAATTTTTATGAATATACCTTACAAGAATGCATAGTAGTCTTGTATTGCTCAGGTCTGTACTCTCATCCAATAAAATAGAAAATGGTTTATTTTCCAATTCTGAAATTATTTCGTCTTTAATAACAGGAGCCAGCACATTTTTAATTATACTTATGCATTTGGATCTTTTTAATTTAAGTGAGCTAGAGAGATCTGGGTCTTTAAAATATAATTGACTAACTCCTGTTATATGATCAACAGTTCTAAAACTTATATAATGACTTACAACTAAAAGACTATATCTTAAGCAAGCAAATATTTGCCGTTTTTCCAACTCACGTGCTTTCCGAGACTGAAAAGTGTTATCTAACGTTCTTACATTCGAAATTGCTTGTACATTAGTGGCATGCCTTTTTGATTTCGAATGATTCACTAAATCTGATTTTTTAGCACCCATTATTTGATTACAAGCTTTACACTTTGCTTTCAACTTGTCATTTTCAATAGGTCCCAACCAGCCTTTAAATAACGGATCTTCTAGCCATGATGAAGTAAACATTTGTTTTCGTGTCTTTTTCTTAACAGGTTGCTCTGGCTTTTGGTTATCCTGAGATTCGCAAGTCAAATTATCAGGCTCAGACCTGATTCCACTAGATTCCGCTCTTCTATTTTGTCTGTATTCAGGTTCGGGATGCTCCGAGTCCGACACAGATGCAGTCGAAGTGGATGGTACGGCCACTTTTGGTTTCACCGTTTGTTTTTTAGAAGGATTTTTATCAAAAAAATCGTTAATGGTCTGCTGTCGCCTTTCCATTATTCCTATTTTCCAGAAGAAAAAGCGTTAAAAACAAATTTCGCGACTAAGATTTATTTCTGGATCAAACTATAATATGTTAGATATTTAAGCAGTTTTGTTACTTACCAGTAGATTTAATATTAAGATCTGCAGCAAATGATATATCAATAAAATGATCAACACAAAAATAAGAACACTAATATAAACGAAACTAAACAGTATATACCCAGAGCTAAAAAATACAATACAAAGCGAGAAACCTAATATTATGTCTGCCTGCTGAGACCTGTTAGAAACGATTAGTATTGAAAGCAGTACGTACGACATCTGTTATTGAAAAAAAAGGCAAGTGGAATAATTCTCTTCTCTGTTCCTAGATGGCTCAAGCGGCACCACATGCACCAATTTTATTATTAATGTGATAATAAATCAGACTCTAGCCACTGCATATTTAGGATTTAGAACGTTATTAACGTTAAAACAGTGAAATAAATATGATAGTTTTGTATGTAATAAATTCCGCTACATTTTGGGCTAATTTGCTCTACCGCCGCTACGCCGCTCTTCTCAAAATAATCCGCTACAAATAGCGGAATTCAGCTACGTATGGCAACACTGCTCTAGTGTCATGCACCTGAGCTACTTAATTTTAAATCCCCTGCCCCACCATGCACCAGCTTTTTATTCGGTGTTATACGCTTCGAAATAGTGGGGATAACGAAAATGATAATGTGTCAAGATTGCTGGATTATGTATCTTCATCGTTTTTGTTTTTTTTTTGCATTAAACTCACATTAAACCGATACCAGACAATGGAGGATGGTGAAAGACTGATAATGTTATGACCCAGCGTCACAACGTACATTTGAGATGTTCCTGATTAATAAAGATCTCAAGAAAGTGCAAGAATGCATGTTCATCTGAAGTTATATTGCTGCTGCTTAAATGCCTTGAACTCCGATTGCAAGTAAATTCAATGAACTGCCTTACAACTGCAGTGATAGTTACAAAACAGAAGATCAAAGTAAAAAGATGAGATGTGCATATCCTTTTGGTGATGTATGATTTCTCGCGATTTATCTCTATCAGCGGCAGTTTTTTTAATTCTTCAGTATGCAGAAAAGCTTCTTCCAGAATTTTATAATTTCAGTAAATTCAAAACATACCTGAAATATACTGCGTTTATTTTCTTTCTTCTTAGATTTCTTGTCTTGCATGGGAAAAAACAGAGATGACAAATAAAAAGTCAAAGAAAAGGTTAATTTATGTTTATTTTGAAGTTTATATACAGAGTGTGAAAAAATATAGAATAACCAAAATAACAAAACTTAAATAATAAAGGAAGAATATCTTCTAGGATACAAAACATGTTCAACATTTTTACAATCCATACTTGACAAATGACTCAAAGTACAATAAAAAATCAGATCACTGTTGATCGGACACGGTACTAATTTTTATAACTTGAAGTGAAACATGTTTCAAAATTTTGATTCAAAAACTGACAGACACATCCAGAAAGAAATTGATATTGTGCATTTCAGTCTTAATTTGGTTTCACTGCGTCAAAATGTAAATAAGTTAGTATTCGCCCACAGTTTAACAGAACTTTTCATTTTCTTTTGGTATGTGCATCTGAAATAAAAAGAAAAAATATATTCATATTGGATCGTTAACTTGGATGGGCAATAATACTGTTTCTAAGGTCCAACCATGTAAGGCGTCGTTTTATGCTTATTAGTCATCGTCAGCATGGTTCAGGTGAGTCCGGGAAAGCAGCGCAAAATAACGTCTATATGAGATCAAAGGCTGACCAGCAAGTGACATATTTGTTTTAAAGTCTGTGGTGTTGTCAATAATACAATAATCGGAAGCGAATCGGCACGGGTATCACGTATCTTAAAAAGTGACATTATGCCGATTTTTTTTTGACATTATGCTGGTTTTTCTTGACATTAGTTGTACGTGTTGCCTAAACGCCATGAGACTTCTTATCAATCTTTGGCATGCAGACTAATACACATAATCATCCTGATGCGATCTTGCTATTCAACCAACTTTCTTCTCAGAGATAAAAACTACAGACAAGGACCATTTGAACGTAGATTCGTCTGTCACCAATATGCACTTCAAAAAGTCCGGATTATTGTCATGTTGATGCTACAACCACTCACAAAACCGCACTCTTGCAGGAAAATCGTCAGGTTGAAGGGCTTGTACACGTTGGACGTGAAACGGATACAGCCCCTGTTCACGCAGCGTTTGCCACACTTTAGTTTTTGATACTTGCACTTCTCTAGCCACGTCTCTAGTGCTTGTTGTTTTTTGAAACGCAATCGATTATACGAGTTCGTTTACCTCTACACGCGTGACCGTAACCGTCGGTTGAAGGTTGCAGACTGACCTGACACACTGACCCCGACCCCCGACCCAGTTCTGTCGTCGGGTTGAGCTATTGTCCTAGTACCAGTTGGGGATGTTGCAAGTCGATTTTTGATGTTGCAGAGCCCTTTATCTCGGTTCCCTTAAGACACTAGTGTATAAGGTACTAAGAAAAATTGCTTATGTTTTCAAGATCTACACATCGTGTAAAGGAAAACCCCAACTTTGCGGACACCCTGTATACCAAAAACAGTCAAAAACTGTTTAGATTACAGATTCAAGCGGCCGAATCTTAGACGAAGTGTTCATATGATGGATTTGCCATTGCTAGATAGGTCGGATAGAATTCCCCAGAACAATCCCTCAGTATTGCTACTTTTTAAAAAATCTCAGTTCATTAATGCCTGAAACGTGTAAATTACCCCAGAACATTACATCCCCAAGTAAAAATCCCCCAAATTTGGCGAAATATCTCCCAACATAGCAACCCTGTCAAAGCACCACTGGTAGGCACTACTCCATTCGTTTCGGTGTTATTTTTACAGCACGAACACCATTTCCTAGTTTCTCCTGGTAAAGGGTGTTTCAATAAGAGCGCCGGATTTGATCTAAGATAAACACAATTTCTTTTCGAATTAAGCGAGTGGAAGAGAAGAGGAACAGTTGCGGTTAAACATGGGACATCCGCTAAATGACCACCACGAAACCTCAGGCAGAGGGTCAGTCTTTTCTTAGAATTCTGGATAACGTTTTCGTCGATAACGCGCCGTATCTCTTCATTAAGGCGTTCAACTGTTTGTGGCTTGTTCGCATACACACTTTTCTTCACATAGCCCCAGAGGAAGAAGTCCATTGGCGTTAGATAGCACGATCATGGTGGCCAATTTTGATCGCCAAACCGAGAGATGACACGATTCACATAATGGATACTCATGATAAAGACTCTAGTTGACAAATATATATAATAAAAGCTTTGCTCTGACTAAAGCAAAAATCAAACACACAAAAAGGATCTTACCTGATTTAGTAGACGAAATGGAACTATTTCTGCTTCTAGTAGTCTTTCTAGTGGAACTTGGAATAGTAGTGTCGTCTTTCTTCCTAGTTCTTTTAGGAGGTGACGGAGACCCCGATTGTATAGAAGCCACAGAATTTGAGTCGGAGTATTTCCTTGATCTTGTTTTGACACCTGAAATGGAGAAATCGTTCTATTCTTAGGAGAAACTGAGTCCGTAGGTTAGAAAAGACGCCAACTCGCCAACAGTAGGGGACACAATGTTTCAAATGCTCTAGGTATAAAGTACTGTCATAGAATTGGTAATCCAGAAGCCGACACCTCATCTTTTACCGTTTCACCAAATGCTTGAGAACCTTTCTTTCCAACAAGATAATCGCTGTTTCCATATTGATGGGGCTGCAGCAGACTACCTCAATAACGCTCAGATCACCCTACTTCTTTGGCCTTCTAGATCTCCAGACGATTTTCAAATTAAACATGCGTGGGGTATGTCGGGAACAAGAGCGACCTCTTTACCTCATGCTCCACAAAATATTCTACTGGCCCTATACTTTGGTACCATCGTACCTTGCAATTCTTCCTACCCGTTCGTGGTATGGTTCCAAAACAAAAAAAATGCTTACCTTCTGTAGACTGTACAGGACTTTTAGGTTGCGATTTTGACCTTCCTTGTTTCTTTGGGGTTAAAACCTGAGCAACCGATGTATCTGAAGCAGCTGATGCAGATCTTGTTATTCTTTTACCTGGCCTCACGGAACTTACGGTACTAGCTGTGGAAGACGAGCCTTGATACACTTTCGCTTCTTCTGAATCGGCTTTTCCTAAGAACAACACAATGGGTTTTACTACGAAACTACATGGAGAAAGGGAAATATCAAACTCATCCTAAGAAATTTGTAACTTATTTTTCAGTTATCCTTATTAAGGAGTCTATGATTTTGAGGTTTATTCATATTTTTTGCACGTTTACTTTTGAGGGACATACCTTGAAATGGCTCTTTGTCAAGAAGATCGATGGGATCAAAAGGTTCCCCTTCTTCTAATTTTTCCATTTCTTCTCTCTCCGGTATGCTAGAATTTCTCATCATATTCGCCTGTTTTCGGGTCAATCTTCGTGTTGAAGTGTAGCGATCCATCGTGGTTTCTTCCCCAACTGAAAGATACCCTTTTATATGGACAGAAATTCATCATAAGCAATTGAATTGTTTTGCGAAAATGTTGCACAATTTAGTCGCGGTGTTCTGACTATAGGCAATAAAACATACTTTTTGCGCGGTTGTAGAAAAGATTTGAGCGTAGCCCACTTTTGAGTTTCTCAACATAAATTTAAAAACATGTTGCTCTTACCTCAACATCTTCAGCGATAACAGGCAGCTCGTCAACCGACATAGTCCTTCTCTTTCCTCTTCTACCCCCTCCAGTACTTGTTGACTCATCCACAGACGATATTCTCCTTCTTCCTTTCTTCGTACTTTCACCTTCATCAACTGGCATTGCCCTGTTTTCTTCTTTCTTCTCACTCACACTGCCTTCCGTCTCCACACTACTGCTTCTCAAATTCCTCCTAGACCCCACAGGCTCTTCGGTCAGACTGACACTTCTGGTCTTCCTAGATGATCTCTTCCCTTCAGACTGCTTTGAGGTTGATGGTTGTTCTTTTGGTTCCCCCTCTTGTTGAGCCAATGAAGTGCTGTTCGTCCTAGTCACCCGTTTCAGTAGCGGTTCCTCAGTCCTCTTTTTGGAACGAGGAGAGTGGACCTCAGCAGTCACTACCACTTCCTTTACAGCATCGCTATCTGTTGTATCTGAAGAGGACGTGTGCTCTTCAAATCTTTTCAATTTCCGAGCTTTGGATGGCGTTGCAACTCTTTTATCTGAAGTACTCATATCGCCAACATCTGTTTCACTTTCCTTATTATCATTCTTTGACCCTTCCTCTTCCGTCTCTTCAGCAGATCGGGATTTAGTCGTTGGCCTTTCAGATGCAGTGACGTCTTTAGAAGCTGAAACCGTTGTAGATTGATATTCTACATTTGCTGGAATCTCTGTTTCACCAGTGGATTTAGTCAACTCACCTTGTGTTTCATCTGAAGCAAGGTTCGTATCTTGTTTAAGCTGAGATTCAGTAACTGATTTTGATTTAGCTTCATTATTCTTGGATAAACTCGAATGAACCTGCGAAGTGTCCATTTTTACAATATTCATAGTTTCTTCAGGCTCCTCATGGAACTCCATGTCATCTACACGTTTATCAGCGTTTTCAGAAGAATCGCTACTCTTTGAACGATACGAGTTACTTCTAGAGCTGGCACTATCGCTGATGGAGATTACATCATCGACTGCTTTTCTAGTTCTCTCAGTAACAAAATCGTCTTCACGTTCAGACCGCGATTGAAAAATGCAATCTTCTAATTCATCAAACTGAGTCCTTGATTCATCCAAATCGCCCTCTATATTATCTGAATCGCTGGATAGGTCCTGATACACCTTAGACTCTTTCACATCTATGAAGGCACGATTTAGAGACTCCTCTTCAGGTTGGCTTTTGGCAATCTCAGAACTTCTCACAGATACTTCTAAAGGATCAATTTGAGCAGTATTGCCTATATTCGTTTCGAACACAACCTCTAATCTGTCACAACTGTCTTCAGAACCTGACAAGTCCGCGTAGACCTCCGATTTCAAGAAACCTTTATCTAGATCTGATACTGTATAACAGGTGTTTTCATACACAGGTTTCAACTCAGTTAATACAGTATCGGCAATCACAGCTGGTTCTACTACTTCTACACTTTGAACTGGTTTCTCTTCTCCATCTCCAGATTCTTCTGCAGTATGTTCTTTGATTGTTTCTATTTTCGGTCTAGATTCTTTAGCTTTTCTTCTCTCTATGATATAGTTCACTGCTTCTGTGGCTACAATGGAGAGAAATCCTGGAGTGTCTTCATCCACTTCCATTGGACTATGTTTTTCAACTACTTTGGGAATACTAAATTCTAATTCTGTAAAAAGCTTGGTTGGTTTACTTTGTGCTGCAACATCAGAGCATTCTTTTTCACTTAACTGGGTACTTTCTTCAATTTCGTCTTGTCCACTTTCCTCTGGGTTATCATCATCAACGGCAGAGCTTAGCATCACATCAACAGGTTTGATTTCTTCAGTATCAACTTTATCTTCAACTTCTGACTCATTATCACCACTTTTTTTCTTGCTTCTAGGTAATTGTTATCAACGGTAGAACTTGGCACTTCACCAGCAGGTTTGATTTCTTCAGTAGAAAATTCAAGTTGAATTGAATCTGATTCAACTTTATCTTCAACTTCTGACTGATTATCACCACTGTTTTTGTTTGCTTCCAGGTAATTCTTATCAACGGTAGAGCTTCCCGTTACATCAGTAGGTTCGTTTAGTTCAGTATCAACTTCATCTTTAACTTCTGACTCATCATCACTACAGTTTTTACCAACTTTTCTACCCTTAATCCACTCGTCAGCCAACTGAGACAAAAATGAATCATCACCCTCAGAATTTTTCTCAGCATGTTCTATTCGTTCTTCTTTGCGCACCGAGTCTGTCAACCTGAGGCTTCTTTGATTTTCTGAGATTTTTTCAGATACCTGGGAATCGATTTCTAGAGATATAACTTTGGTAGAATCTGCAGATGTTTCTGTGATCACCGTCGAATCTTTTTTGGTAACTATGACCTCCTTAGAAACGAATTTGGAAGACTGTAGCGCAGAAAAAGCGTTATGCTCCAAGACTTGTCGACTCAGAGGTTTCCTTCTGTTGACCTGAAGCAATCTTGGCGATTGTTTGGGTGATTCAGAAACAGACGTAGCAGGAGATTCCGAAGATGATGTTTCGCTTGATATGCGTATTGCTGGAGATGCGCCCACAGATGATATTCTGATAGATTTATCCACCGAAGACGCCCTTGTCCTCCTAGGTTCAATTGAAGGTGACTCCGTTCGACATTTTTCTACAGAAGACGCCCTGGTTCTCCTAGGTTCCAGAGCAGCGGATTCATCATAAGACCTCTTGTAACTCCTCCTAGCTTTAGGTGACTGAGGTAGAGTTTTGGTTTCATCATCAGCTGCATCATCTTTCATTGAAACATCTTCAGATCTCTCCACTGAAGAAGCTCTCGTCCTTCTAGGCGATTCAATGAGGGATTTGTCTACTGAAGACGCTCTGGTTCTTCTAGGTGATTCAATGAGGGATTTGTCTACAGAAGACGTTCTGGTTCTTCTAGGTGATTCAGTGAGCGACTTGTCTACAGAAGAAGCTCTAGTTCTTCTCGTTTCAAGTAATGATGACGCATCATGCAACGTCTTATAACTTCGCCTTGCTCTGGGTGACTGTGGCATAGTTTTTGTCTCATGGAGATCTATGTCTACATCATGTTTAAGCTCATCTTGTCTAGGCACCTGCATTTCAGCATGTTCTACTACATTTTGTTCAGGCTCTTTAATAACAGAAGAACTACCTTTCCTGGCACCTTCATCCAAAGAAGAACTTGGAGAATAAAAACTATCAGTTCCACTAGATTCTTTAGATGAAACCATCATGCTAGCGTCTACGGAAGATAGCGAAGATAGCCTCTTCTGTTCTGCTTCTTGTATTAATCTGTCTTCTATACAGATAGATGATTCATTACCGGTACTGTCTGCTACAGGTATTCTCAAACTAGAATCATCGCTCAGTGATGTGGAAAATCTAGTTGTTTCATCAAACTGAATTTTCTTTGGCGTATTCTGTGTTGGCATTCTGCAACTTAAGGATATTATCCTAGAATCATTTCTAATCGCGAGGTCATCGTAAGTCTGAGACAAAGGATCATCCTGACTCTTTACTTTAAGGATACTATGAGGCGTAGCGTTTAAACGAGATTCTTGATCTGTACAGGTGGATCTCTTGACAATAGGAGTTAACATCTTCGAATGCATGCTCTGATTCGCCAGAGGACTAACAGTACTTCCTCTTGGTGAAAGCCTCAACCTCTTAGCAGGTGTTGGGCACTCCTCTTCATAATCGATAACATGAGGTGTAACTATAGTTGTAGCAAGTCTGGATTTTTTTCTAAGCGCGACGGGAGTTCTCAAAAATGGAGTTCCCTCGGTAGATACATTGAGTTTGTTGTCCAAAAACGTACTTTTAGCTTTTGATATCGCTGCATGGATCACTGTTGACTTATATTGGACTTGCTCGTTGTTATCATGGACAAATACTGATAAAGGTGTTGGTCTGGTTAGTTTCGTCCATACAGATGCTCTTTCTTTGCGAACGTACTCCACGAGATTCTTGCTGACGTCTGGTAGGTATTTTTTGAAGATTTTCACTACATGGTCACTTACTGACGCATTTTTCTGGCCAGACAAACCTAGCGAATCTGGATTTCTCTTCTTGATGTTCGTATGTACGTCAAATGCTTCTATAAATCTTGCTCTCAATAGATAATAGAACACTTGCAAATCTTCAAAATTCGGATTGTTTATCGATTTCAGGTAATCGAAAAATGCTTTTTCTTCTTTTGTATCCAAGCGTCTATACAACAGGTTCTGCAGAGATCCACTTTTATTACATTCTCGGAAAAGATGTTGAAGTAGAATCTGTATATTCGCACTATTATGTTGATTCTTGAAATAGAATGCTTCATCCAACATATTGTTAGCAACAAAAAGACTGATGGCTGTCAATATATCCTTCTCACTGTTAATAGGCGGTTTCCTAACTTGCATATAGAACAATGCTAGGTTGTTCTGTTCTTGCAACAGTAGCGCTCTCATAGCAACATTATGTTGCCAAGGTTGGAGATCATTGTTAGAAATCTGTGGGTCCAGCATCAGTTCCATCGCAGAGGCAAAATCGCCGTGATCCAACTGCCAAAACGCCTGAGTGATTTTTATCAAGCTTGGTGGTACTTTAAAGACAGCAGGAAACTTTATCAGATGCGTTATAACACCAGAGTACCTGGTCTGGTCCAATGTCATGGCTAAGTCTAAAAATACGTAAATGACCAATGTGTGTTTATAGAGCAAATTGGCTTCTGGAACCAAGTAGCTCCTCAATAACGATTGTAGAGAGGGCGGAGGATAAAGCCCGCTACCTCTGTCATCTTGCCATTGCTTTTGAAGCTGTTCAGCGCCACATTTTATAGCGATGAGATTATCTATGAAGAGCAGTTGGTCAGAGCTCGCAAACGTGTCTTTACTCAACAGTCTTAACTGTGCCCTTCTTTCATTGTAATACTTGGTTAGCTCAACTACAGGGTACGGGGCATTGACTTTTTCCGAGTTGTCTTTTGGATATACAGACTGGTGACATTCTGGTAATAATCCTACGTTTACCATCCACACCAGAACTTCAAAGTAGATGGAAACCATGTCCAAACTTGCGGCTTGTTCTTCAACGACTCGAGGTAGTGCCAGGTAGTTATGCAATTTTCCAAAAACGAAAGCGTAAAATGTACATAAATTGTTGATCTGCCTGGTACAACTGTTCAACAGAATGCTAGTATTGCTATCCAGAGGCAGTTGGGAATAATCGAAAAGACTTTTGCAGTACCTGTCGCAGGTGGTTTTAAGGGTGACTGCTCTGTGAAATGCCCAGTTTAGTAAGAAATCCAAAGAACAACCTGCCGAAGAAAAACTACCATTTGCCCATTCTGACGCGCATTTGCACAACCATCCTGTCAAATGATGTTCCAGTCCTACATTCAATATGATTTCTCTCTGTGCCTCAATAGTTGTGGACGTGTTGACTTGCAGGTCAACAAATAGTGGCGTCAGTCCCAGATTTATAACCTGTTGATAAACATCATTTGTTCTAACAAGACATAAAGGTCCTGCTGATTCTATTTGAGACAGCAATGCCTTTTGTAAGCTGTCACTATGAACAACAATAATGTCATTTTCTCGCACAACATAGACATCGAAAGATAGTGCTGTTGGGTAGAAATGCTCTTCAAGTTTCTGTACCCCTAAAAACTGGTTCAATGATTTAGTGATGACTCTACAGTCTAATATGAGTGACGATTTGTGGCCAGACATCAAAATCTGCTCTGTAAGACTAGTTTTCAAAATGTAGGTGGAACTTTCTTTCCAGCTCGAAAAAGTAGGCATTTGCTCTTTATACCACTGATTCAAATCAAACACTAACATATTTGTTTGGGTTTCACCTCTATCAAACCATACTGTCCAGGATATTTGTGTCAGCGCCAGCACATCACTCGTTGATTTTGTTGCAGAGTCTTTATTATTTGGTTGTTTATAAACAGGCTGGAAGTTCAAAATACATCCACCTTTTGTTTTGTTGGTACTGTGAAGCACACCCAATTCTATTTGGAACCGAACAGTACAAAACTGAAAATCTTGATACAGATATCCATACCCTTCATGGTTTTCTTTAGAAGCATAGCAAAAAGAATACATTACGGCAAATGGAAATCCTCCTTGGTATAGCTCTGTGTTGCTGTAAGCAACCCAGACATAGCAAAAAGCTCTTGGATCATCTGTAGGTTCTAGAAATGCAAACTGAGTGATTGGTAGATGATCTTCACACACTGGAGATGTATATATTAAGGATAAAGTTGTTAAATCCCAAAGTTGAAATGCTCCAAAGTTGAATCCAACTAGAAGTGAAGTTAGTTGCGAACAGTAGTATAGTTTACTTACAGATACCTCTTCCTTATTCACAAACAATTTATTTTCATTCTGGGGACCTTTCAGAGTAAAATGTTCTGTTTTACTATCCAACACAATATTCAAATGTATAGCTAGGTGATTGCCTTCTTTTATACACTGTTCTTTATACCTCTCTACTTTATCAACTTTATGTGGAGGAATGATTACAATTTGACATGGAGAAATTTCATCCCTAACTTGCTCTTGATCCATACAAATCTGCCGGCAGATGTCTATGAGTAAAATATCACCACCTAATGTTCCTACAGCTAAAATTCCATCAAAACATCGAAGAGATCCTGGTAAATTCAACACCTCTAAAGCTGAATCCACAACATTCATATTACTGATTCTTTCTTTGACATGAATGGCTCTAATGACTCTAGAACTGCCAGCATCAAAAATACATATTGAGCCTCCACTAATAGAACAATCGAGTCCAACTGCAAGCAATGGTAAATGCCCACTTGATGTATCAACCTCTTCGACACAAACAATTTTGGTATTAGAGTCTCTGAGGACACATCCAAATGTCCAAGCGCCTATTTTGAATCCTGATTTACCGTTTCTCACTTCTAAGCATGATCCTTTAGCATGCCAGACGTATTTTCCTTCAGATAATATGCCCCCCAGTACTGGCCATGCTGGAAAAATCATTTCATAAATTTCTCATCATAACAATTCAGATTTAAAGTGAACCCACCATAACAGAAAAAATACTTGGTGGAATACTTTAGGAACCAGCTTCATAAAAACAATGACAGTAGTTTAACTAAAATGAGTTTGTTAAAGACGTCACTTACCCGATTGTACAACTTCATTGGAATCATTTTGCGGGATAAACTGCAGGGTATTTTGTGGGAACGGGGTTATCTTCGAAATGGTGAACGACATTTTTGTTGTTATAGAAAACGCAAGCTCACCGCATAAGCATGATAAACGTTTGAAAATGAGCCGTTATAAACTGCGAATTTCTAAAAGATAAGATCGGAATTTACTTGTTTGAAATTCCACACTAAAAAACCGACACTAATTAACAAGATAACCTAGAATTTGATCCTTGACGTTTTCGGCCGTTTTTGACATGCTTGATGTTTATACTTTTGACCACCTTTTGACATCTTAAAATCGCAACATCTAGTGTTGAAATTTGAAACCTACATTACAACATACACGGTGGCGCATCGAAAACGAAACACGCATTTACTGGCAGCTCAGTTTTTTTTTTGAAAAACGTTCACACCCGTCGATTTTGTTTTCTAGGGGGACACAAGTTTGGCAAAAAATCACGTTAGCACGTGCAGCCCCCTAAGCGGGGGTGACATCACCCCCAAAATCTTAAATGGAAAAGGGGGTCGAGTGATACCTTATTTTATAGGTCTTTCAATTCCCTTTATAATGATATAAAATTAGTATACTTCAGTTCAGTAGTTTTGAAGATTTATTGATTTAAAGCTTAAATAAAACTAATACATCATCGTTAGTGGAGATCAATACATTTGGCAGCAAAGTAATTTAAAAATGAAGAATGAACTGACCCGTTAGGCAAGTAAATGTTGAAAATGTCCACCATGACTCTCCATGCAATAATAAAGATTTTGGTCAGAACGTTACCGCACATTTTGCAATATTTGAGGAGTAATTTGAAGGCACTCATTCACAATTCTTTGTCGCAGGTCTTCTAATGATGTTGGCTGAGTAGTACAGATTTTGCCTTTTAAATGACCCCACATAAAGAAATCCAAAGGTGATAAATCTGGCGATCTTGGGGGCCATTCAATGGCACCTCTTCTACCAATCCATCGATCTGGAAACGTCTGATCTAAATTTTGTCGAACACGTAATGCGTGATGTGGTGGGGCACCGTCCTGTTGGAACATCAACCTATTCGCAGTGTACCGCCGATCATTCGGATTTTCAATTATGTCTGTTAATGCAGGATCTATGGCGTCTTCCAGTAATTCCAAATACATTTCACCGGTCAAATTTCCAGGTAAGAAAAAAGGACCAAAACTAAATGATCGCTAAAAATACCAGCCCAAACATTTAATTTTTGTGGCTGCTGTGCATGAACATCATGATGAGGCAGCAGCGGTGGCCGCAGTAGCAGACTCTTCGGTCTCCTGATCAGTCGCCGTGCGCTGTGCGGGTTCGAGTCCCGTCCCAGGAGAAATTTTTCTCTTGGCTATGGATGTTGTGATTGTCCGTAGGTGGCAGACGGTCTCTGACTGTCGAACGTGGAGGTACCACCCGGCGGATTTCGTAGGCGGAGCCAGAATGTGTGCATGTTGCATGCACACGTGTTTCCTCGCCAGAGTCCGTGTGGCTTCCCCCCTTTCCCCTGTATCCCCCTATAGCCCCACGGTACCCAATGGGTGTTTAGGCCTTAGGCCTTCGTGGTAGTTGGATTATAAAAAAAAAAAAATAAATTCTGAGATTAGAATCGGAACAATACCGGCAGTTATAACGATTTATTATGCCATTTAAGAAAAAGGAACATTCGTAGGAAAAGCAAGTGTTGAACAGAAAATATTCATCGTTTATAATTCGTTCACTCATATCTTCACAAAATTGTAATCGCCGATCAAAATCGTCTTCACTAAGTTCTTGCACCAGGTGAATTTTATACGGATGAAAACTATAGGCGTTTAGAATCCGTTGGACAGTACGTCGACTAACACCACACACAGTCTGCAATTTACGGGTACTTAACGTAGGATCTACATAAACTTGCCCTAAAACCCCCGCTTCTATTGCTTCGTTCCTTATGGGATTTTCAATGTTGCGTTTTTATTGGCGACTGACCCAGTTTCCCGAAATTTAGCTACAAGTTCTAGAAAATATTTTCAATTCACGTTACTGTTCTCATGTCGCTCATTAAATATTAATGCTGTTCTATTAGCGCACTGATTATTTCCGAATAATATTTCAATAATTTCAACTCTTTCTGCTGTGGAATATACCATGGTTAATTTATGTAACAAAGCGTTACAAGTTATTATAGCAACAAAGTTTGGCCAAATCAACCGCAAACTATGTACTAAATTCCTATTTAAAATAAGTACGAGATATTTCCTTATCTTTCTTCAAGAAATAACTTTTTTGCCACAAAAAACGTTCCAATAGCTATTTTCAACAACAAAATAATAAACAAACCATGGGAATAGTGAAAAAAAGCATTTAATTATTAAGTAAATTCTTTTAGTCAAATTTCTTCCGAAAGTAGAACAAACTAATATGATGTACCTATTAAAGTCTACTTTAAGCTTTAAATCAATAAATCTTCAAAACTACTGAACTGAAGCTCATGTATTTTACATCATTATAAAGGGAATTGAAAGACCTTTAAAATAAGCTATCACAAAAAAAACTGAGCTGCCAGTAAATGCGTGTTTCGTTTTCGATCCGTCACCCTGTATCTTTATGCGATATATACAAATTCCACTAGATGGCGCGGTGGAAAAATGTTCGTTACCTGGATTGAACATTCCAGTTCTATATGAATGACCACCCTCTCACGTCACAGTCATATAACCCATATATGAGTAAAGCCACGCCCGATTTTCTTCTCGCCCATAATCGAATACCAAAATAATAAAGTAAAATTCCCCAACCCCCAAGTTAGTGACTTATTTGTCATCAACAAAAATGTCCATTTTCCGTCAATAATTTACCTAGTTTTCCAATTTTCATCAGATTCGAACAGTGTTTTGGGCATAAATAAAACATGGTATGTAAAACCATCCCTAACTTATAGGACCTGCTGGTTCAAAAGATACCTTCTCGGCTTGTCCACATATTTTTTATTCAACAATCCCACAAAAGATTAGAAAAATAAAAAAACATCCTTTTTTACAAAATGTACAGAAATGCTGCATTATTTAGTCTTGATTTCTCCGTAGCAAATATTACGGCACATCGATGTTGAAGAATGGGACAATTGATGTTATACCTTCATGTACTTATCGGATATCACCGATGTTTATCCCAAAATCAATAAAACGAGCATCTGTCACGATACAGTATACTACTGGATTGCTACCAATTCTTTAAAGATAGTTTAATTACTTTAATATTTAAGAAATATCGTATAACTGCATGTTTTGCATGTCGGTTGAACTGTAGGATCTAGGGCCCACATATTTTTTTGACTTTGCTTCAATTTTTTATAAAAGATAGCATATAACATATAACGATATTTTAGTTTACTTATTATTATATTATTGCATTTAAAGCCAGTGCCGTCGCGATCTGGTAGTGTTGTGCTTAGCACATGGGCCGGTCTCCCAAGCGGTAAAAAAATGAAAACATGCAGCAAGACACCAAAGTCCCGGAACGGCACTGTATTTTCTCGGATAAGGTATTTTTGGAAAAGATCAAGGTCACATCTTCCGTGAATTTCAGCTAGCCTTGAATTTGACGTTCACTTTCAAGGTTAATTCTTGGCCAATTTTATTTTTTCAAATAGAAACTCCTATTTTTGAAAGAACAGAAAATGTTGCGTTCACACACAATTAAAGTCCAAGGTCAAGATGACTACCAAAGGTCACATGAAGATCAAATGTGTGCTGCTACCTCTATAAATCTCACAGGATGAGTGATGAAAAAGCATGGGTATCAAAACGTCAAAAAAAACCTATAAAATGTCAACTTGCATACTATAAGTTGTTAGGGTGCAAACAGTCGATCCACGTTTGCTCACTTGGGTCGTTGTGAACGTCCATCTATGAAGGAATCGCTTAACTAAACCACGCATTATTGGTTGCATAGTTTTGTGAGGCTGAGTGATCTGGGTCTGTAGTTTTTATCTCTGAGAAGAAAGTTGGTTCATTACTGAATATGACGGGTTATTTATATGTTGTGCTTTCTGAAGAGAGGTTATGTTCAAAGTTATAAATTACGAAAAACTGAGAATTACGGGAAATCATCACCGCGCCCGCGTTGTGTGTAATTACTGTTAGCATGTATATGGCATGTAATTCGACAGTGTACAGTGAATATAATTATTTCTTATCTCTCTCATTTTTGAACTTCAGCAAATTTGTATATGTAATTGCCAGAATGGATAAGAAAAAGTGGATGTGTAACTAATTTCTAGCTTTGAATCTCAATTAAGTGTATTTGGGACAAGAACCCAATGTACGTAATTATCATCAATACATACAACTTACAGCTTAGACCTCCAGTAATCCCATCTCAGATGCGGATTTTACATCACATCAGAGCCAAAGATTCATAACAAGCCTCATGACCTTTAGGCAACTACAACTAAGTGCTAAGTCAACATCTTGGCGAAAAACCTACATAATGTCAAAAAAAACAGCATAATGTCACTTTTCAAGATATTTGATACCCGTGCGGGTCTTAGGTAAATTTCAACAAGGAAGTAAACGCAGACCTTGGATTGGAACTTGACCTTCACCTTCAAGGTTATTTCAAGGTCAACGTAATATTTTTATTGGAAAACCCCTATTTTCGATGCCCGCAATCGAAAGAGCGGGAATTTTTATATGCATTAAATTTCAAGATCAAGATCACCGATGGAGGCCAAATAGGTTAAATAAAGGTCAAATATGTAATCTCGCAAATATGACGAAAATAATTGGTAAGGTCTTTACTAAATTTTCACGAGTAGCGGTAGCCTTGGATTTGACCTTGAACCTCACCTTCAAGGTCATTTCAAGAACAACTTTATTTTTCCAAATAGAAACGCTAGAAGTCACATAAAGGCCAAATGTGTGCTGGTAGGAAAACTTCTAGAAAACTCACACGAGTAGTGACGAAAATAACGGGCAAGGTCAGATCTTTGGGTACTTTCAAGTCATCCTAACCTTGGTCTTCGATTGTTTTTGAACGTAAAATTTTCTGTTCTTCCGATTGCCGGCATCAAAAATATTTGAAAACATTAAGTTGACCGTAAATTTACCTCGAAGGTGAAGGTCAAGGTCAATTTCAGGCTCACCGCTGAATTCCTTGCTGGAAGTTACTGACGCCTGGCCTTTCCCAAAAATATCCCGAGAAAATACAGAGCCGTACCAGGACTTTATTTTTTATGATCAAAATCAAATGGAAAATATGTAGTAAAAATTCCCAGTCGTAGTGCTTGTTATTTGTTAAAATGATCCTTGGTTTGTCCTATGTTTAATGAGTGATTATTATACTTCAGATTCTGTTCTGTTTATATAAAATAATAGAGGAAATTAAGACTCATAACTAAAATAACCCACCACTGACAACGATGCTACAGGTTGCACACTCATAAATTTATAGTATAATATGCTTGAATCACAAGCTTAAGTTATGGAAACAAAAAATAATACAACTTAATGGCAAATGTCAGTAATTACTGTTGTCGGTACTATTAGTATGTAATTATTATTTAATCAGTGTCATTGGATTTCTAATTGACCTTGTACGTCAATAGTTACTGAGGTACTAGCTACACAGTCAATAAAAATCACAGTCCATGATAAATGTAAATACTGATTGTGTGATATTCACCTATGATAAAAGATGATAAAAACAATAAAATGAAAAAACAATAAGAAAATAAATAACCTATTCAAAATATTCAATTAAGTTAAAAGTAGAAAAAAAAGAACAAAAGACAAATATGATTCTGCAAATTAGCAAATTAAGAAAGAAAATATGAAAAAACAAATAAAAGACTTAACGATTTTAAGAAATAGAGCAGATTTTTAAAAAAAATCTTGTTATACATTTAATTTAGAGTAGATTACATGTGCCATAAACATAAAAAATGTATACACGTTTAGATATTCTAAATTTCTATGAATTTGTATTGTATAGTATTAATCACACGTATAGTATTTTAAGTCTGCTGCTATTGAGAATTAAGTTATTTGAGGAAAATGTTTTGTAAGGACTAGAATAAAAAAATTGAATAACCCATTCACCCTTCCCATTTCCTTAGGAGTCTTATACATGTGTGCTCTTCCTGCTTTAAATTCTCTTCATACTCTTTTTCTTTCTTAGACGTTTGTTCAGCTCCATCTAATGCATGCAAACTCCATGACTTTTTGCAGAACTTTGCAAAACAAAAACTGCTTTATTTTGTCTTAGAATCACCATGGCCAGTCACCACTTCATCCCGGTTTAGTGGTGATTTCATTCGGTGTCGCGAAATGTCGCTGCCAGTGTCTCAATACGAGGCGCTGTTGGCTGAGGTACGCGGCTTAAGGCGCAAGGCTCAGCGGGTGCAACAACTTGCCAGGCCTCTGGTCGAGGGGGACTCACAAGTTGAAGGTGCCGCATCATCTTCAACAACTGCAAGCTGTAGACATCATCAGGTAGGTGCCGTTTATATTTATTTATATGGACATTCGGTAGATTCAATGATAATATCGGTACGAGGAAAAAATTAGGACCGTTAAAATATCACCGATGGATCAAAAGTGCATTTTTGTACACAAAAACCATTATAGGGAAAGCCGAATAAGAGAGATGCGTATATAATTTTATTGTAGGCAACCAAAATCTACGTCCCTCTTATGTGTGACTTCCCAAGTATACGCTTAATATGTATGACTGGTATAGGGTATAAAACTACATAGACAACATATAATTCCTTTTTTTAGCTTTAATTTTGATTCAAGCTCTTTTTGGGTAGAAAACTTGGAAGTATCCAAATTATTTTAAAAGATCGTTTTCGATATTTCGGTGAAATAGGTCTCATTTCGGCAGAAATACCGAAAAATCGGTAGGCTCGGCAACACTGGGGCCGAATGCATAGTGTACATGCTGGTGCATAATTATGTCGTGGTCATATCGTAGAAATGGCCAACTAATTTTGACCATATCGTTGTATCGTCAACGTTTAACTATTCATATCGTAATATAGTCAACGTTTAACTATTCATATCGTAATATCGTCAACGTTTAACGATTTTTGTTGTAAGTCTTAATTTTAAGCTCACTATCTTCCTCATTTAGCAACAATTAATTAGAATTTTCACTTCTAAAAACAACTTTATTACTAACATAGCGTTCCGAGCACCTCTATGGGTAATTAATGTAATTATTGTACGATTTGAACATGCTTGACCATGCTAATTATTTATTTTCCTTTTTACACATAATTGTGTACAGAAAATACATTCATTAAATGCAATATAGGATTTAAATTAAATACAAACATACAGGAAAACCAGATTTGTCTAACGGCTTGAGTTCATTGTGTACGAAAGACAAGCGCGAGAAGTGTGTATCAACACATGTTAGAAAGAGATAGAGGCTGGCTGGAGAGCGAAGGTCATAACCACATTGCCTACCAACGGTGACGTAGAAAGGCGTGCAATCTGCCACGTTGCCAGTATGTTACTCCAGAAAATGTTCGCACAAGCTTCTACCATTAGTTAGGTTACTGTCAAACCCAAGAGGGAGGTCTGTTTAATGTTTTGTTCTCATTTTGATTAGAATGATTTCAATTTTGATGCGAATTAATGTTTCAATTTATTTTAAAATTATCTTTGAGTTCCGCTAGTTGATTACTAACCGCTCATCTATGATCATGGAGGTCGAAATTTCGCCTTGGAAAGTACGAGATGCAGTGTTGCCAAGCGAACTAATCGAACCTTTCATTTCGACCTAAAATGAAGCGCCGTTAGGACCGATCCTGATCAGATTCGACACAATTCACAATTGAAAAATGTGTACGTTCAAAATAAAACCATTATTTGGGCGTAGAAAATAAACTAACGCATCTTATTCAAGAATCTGGTGTAACATATTCGCAACGCGGTAGATTGCCGCGTCAGCGTTGCTAAGCAACGCGGTGATGAGCTGCGCTATCCAGCCGGCTTCTATTTCTTTCTAACATATGTGTATAAACACACTTCTCTCTCTCTTGAACTCGAGCCGTCAGATAAATTTGGTTTTCCCTGGATAATGGAATAAATGAATAGATAAACAGACAAACAAGCGACTGTTTACAAACAAATTCAGACACTGTGTAAAAACACGCGTTCAATAAAAGCCGCTTCAACAGCACTTGACACTTACAGGTAACATGTTGAATATTTTTGGTCATCATTCAGTGTTCTACTACTATACTACAACTATTTAAAACTGTAATGACTCATACGCGTGATCAACACGTGATCAGAGCTCGATCCCGGCTTCCTTCCAGTAGAGCCGTATAGCGTACGACATATGTCGTTTCTGTGGCTTTGCGGTGGTCAACAGCACAGACAGAGATGGAAATAATGGCTGATTGTTCTCCGTCGGTAGAACCAATGAAATCAAAGACGCGCCTCGACCGGCAGACTCATAGGCGTCGGCAACGCATTGGAACGTGTTTCGTTGAGCGATCGCATATTGTGTGTTTTTATAAGAATTGTTGTGTGATTGTTATTGTTGTGGTTTCTGTGGTTACTGTTTTGGTTATACTTAACAAATGGCACGAGTGGAAGTACTGAAAGCCAGGGAACAAGTAGACGGCTTCGTAAAGCACTGAAGAGGGACGCGAAAGAAATCGTGCTCAACGTGTTCAATTATCTGAACAGAACTATGTCGCAGGGAGATGCACTCGCGCGTTGTGAAAGTATGACAGGCGTTCCAGAGTAGACCATTCCGCAGGGTGGTGCATGAAAAGAAGAAAACTGGAGCTACTACTGATCCAAAGTTTAATTTGAAGGGACGAAAGGCCGTAAAATTGGATGACGATAGCAAAATGGCGTTAAGGCGAACCGTACATTCATTCTTCTTTAGGAATGAGATACCAACCCTCAAGGCTGTACATGCAGCGATCAAGGAAAATGAAATTATACCCCAAATGAGCGTCGAGGTAATGAGGAAATCCCTGCACGAGATTAATTTTCGTTACGAAACACGTAATCGGAAGTCAGTATTGATAGAGAGACCTGAAATAGTCGCCTGGCGTCGAAAATACCTACGCGAAATGATTGAATATAGGCGACAAAGCAGAAAAATCTATTATTTGGACGAGACATGGGTAAATGCAGGTCACACAGTTAAAAAAACCTGGATAGACAAAAACGTAGTGAGTAACCGACAAGCAAGCATTGAAGGTTTGTTAACAGGTCTTCGTGGACCGTCAGGGAAAGGTCAAAGATTGATCGTAACTCATATTGGTAGCGATAGTGGCTTTTTAGAAGAGTGTGACTTGCTTTTCGTCTCTAAGAAAGGAGGTAATTACCATGACGAAATGAATGCCAGCTGCTTCGAGAGCTGGTTTCAAGGGGTGCTTCAGCGAGTTGAGCCCAACTCTGTGATCGTCATGGATAATGCTTCCTACCATAGTCGTCGAGCCGAACGTGTACCGACTATGGGATCTCGAAAAAGTGACATGCAGCAATGGTTGCGCGAAAAAGGAATCCCGTTTGACGAGTCATGTGTGAAAGCGGAATTGTATGAAAAATTAAACAGCACAAACCTGCGAATATTAGTTACGTGACTGATGAGATGGCCCGTCAATGTGGTGTTACTGTGCTGCGGTTACCGCCCTACCACTGTGAACTGAACCCAATAGAGCTCATCTGGGCTCAAGTGAAGGGTTATATTGCGCGCCATAACACAACCTTCCAATTAGCAGACGTTAAGGTTTTACTTGAGACTTCCATACAGCTAGTAACGCCCGAAGCTTGACAGAATGCTATCCGTCATGTTGTGAAGGAAGAAACAAAAATGTGGCAGCTTGACCACCACATCGACACCATCATAGAGCCAGTTATAGTCAATTTCAACGAGGAAAGCGATAGCGACAGTTTATTACTGTCAGATGTAAGTGGAGGCGACGATGAATAAAGGTAATTCCCAAATTTTTGACTTACAATATGTTTCAAACCACTCTTTATTAAGCATGTGACAAATCTAGACCCATGTTAAACATTCATACCCCGCCTATGAACAGCCGACTACTGGTAGTTAAGTGATGTTCACGCGAACATCGATGAGTCATTACAGTTTTAGATAGTTATAGTATAGCTGTGTCGTTGACGTAACATTGTTAATTTTGATCTGAAAGTTCCTTCAAGGAAGGATTTTTCCAGTACTCTTAGAAGCCAAAAAGGAAAACTCTTTTGGATTAGGCCTGCATGCCACACCTTGTCAAAGTCTTTTGAGACATCCGCAAATTTTGATTCCCGCCTGAGAGTAGTACAATCGAGCATTTGAAGTATTGAAGCGTCAACTTGTCAACACGCACGATACGAAACAACAGAACATGCACAGAACGTGAAGTGAGAAGTGTATCCAGCTGCCCATAGCGCCATCTACCGTCTCGTGTAGTGCTATTGCAGCGCGGGACGGTACCTTAATGAGATTATTATAATTTATAAACATACTCTCTACCCCTTAGCCAATCTTCGTTATCTCAGTAATCCTGAATCATTAATCGTAATGCCTCCCGGATCCCCGGCTTGTCTAGCCACGAACGTAAACCCCGCTCGCATATTTACGACTGTTTGCCACCATACAATACATTAAGAAGCAACATTTATTCGCTGACACGAAATTTGCTAATCTACCAGAACGTTTTCCGTGTTTTCGTGACTCGTGCGCTCCTTTTCTCTCATGTTTTATTCAGACTTAAATCGGCTGCAGGAGATGCATTGGACAGATAGCGGCTGGGTAGCCATACACTAGCCAGTAGGATCTTTTTTGAAAACGTTGTCGTGCAGGTTGACCCAAAATTTTTCTAACGTTTAACAGCCTACTGAATTTCAGAGATTCATGGCGAAATTGAAAAAATCAGGAATACAAACAGGAAATTTAAAATCAATAATAGAAACACTAATTTCCCTAACTTGTTTGATTTTCCATATCAAGGTCACATAGCCACCCTGTTTAAAGTTGTCAGACAATTTTCGAAAATTCTCCCGTATCTTCAATCTCAAACATTTTCTTATTCAAAATGGAATTCGTGACAGCTTTTTTGTTGGACAGTTTTTGAACCCTTTTGAAGAGAATTTCCGAGAATTTTTTCTTTTTTATTCATCAGAATAAAATTACCCTTTTCGAAGATAAAGGGTTGTCCAATCGGGACGCAGGAAAGTAAACGTCAATTTGACATAGACGCCATCTTTGTTTTCTGTCACCGACATGTCATTTTGTTAGTTGAATGTTTACCATTGATCGCTATGGAGTCGTATTCGATTGAAGACCGCATTAGAGTTATTCAAGAGCACTACAAAAATGGTGCAAAAATAAAAAACACGTTTCACGCGCTTCGTGAACATTTCGGTCGCAACAACCGCCCAAACGAAACAACCATCGGTCGTCTGGTGCGTAAATTCGAGGCAACAGGTTCTGTGGTAAATCTGCCAGGCTCTGGCCGGCCAAGGAGCGTTCGCACACCGGAAAATATTGCTGTTGTGAAGGAGAGTGTGAGAGACGATCCGAAACA